GAAGATGTTCACATTAATTGACGAAAATATTAGTATGAGAGAAGTGGAAATAAACTATAAGTGTTTGAATAGATGGCACATTACCCCCTACCTGGAGCACAAGATGAATACGGAAATCTCACAGATGTGTTGGAGAGGCTGTGGAGAGGTGGGCACGTGGTATCATGTGTGGTGGGAGTGTCCAGAAATACAGGTGTTTTGGCGGAGGATAGTTTATTTGATAGAGAAAATCACAAAAATCAATATAGGATTAGATCCAGAAGTATGTCTCCTCCATATCTCAGAACTCTCAGTGAAAACATATAAGAGTTCGGGGATATGGCATTACTTGACAGCAGCAAAGAGTCTGATACCCAGGTTCTGGAAGAAAAGAGAGGTGCCAACTGAGGAGGATTGGATGGCTAGAGTAAATCAGATCTCTGGGACAGAAAGATTGTATTATACGCACGAGGACAAGCTGGAGTTATATAAAAAAAAAATGGAAAGGCTGGGAAGAATACAGAGAAAAGGTGAAATATATGAAGAGATAATATTCCTGGAAGCTGGCTTAGAACTGAGATTTAGAAACAACAGAATAATATGGAGTTAACGAGAGTAAAGAGAATGTTGAGCGTGGGGGGTTGGAGGAGATGGGGGGGGGGGGGGGGAGTGGGGGAGGGCAAGAAAAGAAAGTCATATACAGGGATAATTTATGTAAGAAGAGAAAACATTTGTGATAATTATTTTAATAGAAATGTTGAAATGTTTTGTATATGAATTGGAAAATTAATAAAGATTTATAAAAAAAAAAAAAAAAAAGAAACATGGAAAAGCCACAGCAGAAAAAAGACCAAGTGACCCATCGAGTATGACCATTTTTTTTTAAATTCATACATGTTTCTTTTGTTGTTTGTTTTGTCTTTTTACTTTTTTGTCTATTGATAGATCTATGTTTGTCCCAAGCATGTTTGAAGCCATTTACTGTTGAATGACTCACTACCTCTGCTGGAAGTTTATTCCAAGCATCAACTACTCTTTCAGTAAAATAATACTTTCTAAGATTAGTTTTGAACTTTCCTCTAGTTAGTTTGAGCTCATGTCCCCATGTTCTTGATTTTGGTTTCATATTGAAAATACTGCCCTCCTGAACCTTATTCATCCCCTTGATGTATTTAACCACGTCCCACCCGCCATATAGTAATCTCGTTCTGGTAGGATGTCATATGACGTCCTCCCCCATTCTAACCACACATGCGCGGCTCAGGGAGAGCACTGTGTGGCTATCGGAGGTGCCCTTGGACACAACGGATCACCGATCACGGAAAGAGTCGAAGATGTCGGCTTGGTCATGTGATCAGCTGTGTCTAATCACAGCTGATCACATGTAAACAGGGAAATGCTGGTTATCGGCATTTCTCTCCTCTCGAGCTGTCACGCTGACAGCTCGAGAGGAGAGCCGGTAATCGGCTTTCCGCGGAGGGGACATCTACACTGATCACGAGGGCAATGCCCATCAGTTCCACCTACCAGTGCCTCCTCATCAGTGCCCATCAGTGCCACCTATCAGTGTCCATCAGTGCAGCCTATCAGTGCCCATCACTTCAGCCTCATTAGCGCACATCAGTGAAGGAGAAAAATCACTTATTTACAAAATGTTATAACAAAAACTAAGAAAAAACTTTTTTTTTTAAATTTTCAGTGGTTTTTGCTTTGTTTAAGAAAAAATAAAAAACCCCAGAGGGGATTAATTACCATCAAAATAAAGCTCTATCTGTCACAAAAAAATGATAAAAATTTCTGGTGAGCATAGTCTCTCAAAGGCAGAGCAGGCAGCAAAACTCAAAAAAAAAAAAAAACTCAAAAAAACGTAACATGCTGCTCACTGCTATTCACCTTTAAAACAAAAAAAAACACTCATTTGGATGTGGCAAAAAAAAAATCCCACTTCACAATACATAAGAAGTGCAATCCAAATCTCAAAACCTTTTTGAATGGATGCTAATAGTCTGCTGGCCTTGCTTGCTGCAGTTTGGCATTGCATCTTATTGCTGAGTCTGTTATCTACTAGGACACCCAGACTTGGGGACAGAGCCTTTGGGTATCTCACTTACAACTTCATACCATTCAGAAAAATATATAATAAAATCAATTAGCACAACCAAACCAAAATAATGTATACTGAAAAAATAAATACAGCAAAAAAATACCAGAAAATATAAATATCTGCAGGTTGCCAGCTCATGAGTTAGCAATTCTCTTAGATTATAATCTGCAATATAAGGATACTGAAAAATTATACAGAAATACTGGAAAATTCTTTTAAATTATAGAGTTCTTGGACCGGTTCTCCTGCCTCAGCCTAAATTTATATCAAATAGCATCCACTTTAAGGGGTATTATAGCCCCTGGAATCCCTGATCCCCCAAAGAGGAGTAACAACTAGTTGTTCTGGTATTGTATTGCCTGAGTTTATTATATGCGATCCCTACTAGCACTGGTTTAAGTGCCAGCTATTGTAAGTGTGATTTTAGCTTTTTAATAAATTGTGGTTCAAACAGAGAACACAAGATTTGTGCCTTCTGCTTTTACTGTACATATGTTTTCCTGCTGTTGAGCGATCCATCCGATGGGGGAGGAAGAATTTACTATTTACATCTAGAGCCATTTTTCCCAAGAGGAGAGCAAGTGCTATATGACCTGACTGGTAATGCAGGGGTCATGTATTTGAGGTGAGCGGCCATCTGATATTTGGTGGTGGAAGCCCGAAGAGCACTGGGTTATAAAATTTATGGACTTCACTTTATTTGCACATGGTGTGGTACATTGTAATATTTAATTGTTATTTTAAATATTTGGGTTGCGCTGCACTATTTTGATTTCCATTCAGAGATATGCTTTTTATTACCACCCTTTGGCCACGCTCCTGTAACTGGTTTTCTATCCAGGTACATACACTACTGTCAATGCCAACAGACCTCAGGTTGTAAATAATATATTATACTTTCCCCCAATCTCCTTGCTGCCCTGGTATTCAGGACAGGGCACAGGTTATTCTGCTAGCTCCATGGTGGCTGAGAAGGAGTCACTGCTCAACTCTCATGTCTCTGTCAAATTTTCCACTATGGGTTCTACCAATCTGAGCAGATCTGTTGTGTCAGGGTCTGATGTTGCACCAAACCCTCAACTCATATGCCTAATGGACTGCAGATTGAAAAGAGAACTTTCAGAAATAAAGGATGTTCAGAAATAATAATACCCTTCTCCTTAGTCATAAGGTGAGTACCAGAAAATGATATGCTAAAGTATGGGAGACATTGTTTTCTGGCATAAAAGGTTAAACAGGAATATTTGTTTCATTCCTACAGTCCTAGATTTTCTTCAAGATGGGTCTGATAAAGGATTGTCACCTAGTACCCTTAGGGCTTTTTTGGAAACTAAACTTGCAGAGCACACCTTAAGTAATAGTTTCCTAGTAGACATGTAGCATTGCATACCTAGAAGTGTAAAAACTGCGGCTCTTTGGGATCTGTCTCTGATACTGAATCACTTCATTAAGGAACCCTTTGAATGGACTAGTGACTGTACCACTACGTATCTTAAGCTAAAAGTGAACTTCTGGCTTGCTATTACCTTGGCTTGAAGGACTGGAGATATGCAGGCACTGTCTTGTAATGACACTTTGCAAAATAAAGTACTTCTTAAAATGGAATTCCCCCAAAAGTGGAAGCTCCACTTATCTGCCTCCCCCCACTGCCACATTTGGCACCTTTTAGGGGGAACCTGGTTTTGACAGGTACTTCACCCCCCCCCCTCTTCCCCTGCAGTCCTGGAAGACTGCGACCCATTCACAAAGTGCAGTGCTCTCCACACATGCACAGTAGGAGACCGGCTGTGAACCTGCAAGGCTTCACTTCCAGTTTCTCTTAGTCAAGATGGCGGCACCAGCACCCTGAAGAATCGGCTCGGGGTGAGGACACCGCTGGATCCCTGGACAGGTAAGTGCCCTAATATTAAAAGTCAGCAGCTACAGTATTTGTATCAGCTGACTTTTAATTTTGGGGGGGGGGTAACGGAACTCCACATTAAGCCGAATCCTACGTACCTTCCAGAGTACTTTCAGCAGTCCATAGGTCACAGGAACTAATTATCTGGGCAGTCTGCAGTTCCCAGAGAAATAAAAAAAAGAGACATTTCAGTTTTATTGATGCTAAAAGATGTTTTTTGAGGCAGCTGACATTTGCAAAGGACTTTTAAAGATCTAGCCACCTTCTGGCTCTGTTCGGTCGTTCGTATAGAGGGCTTAAAGTCTCTAAAATTACTCATGCCAGATTGATTACAGAAGCTATCCTGTCCACATATGTTTGCTCAGGACAGCAAAAAACTGCCAAAATTAAAGTTCACTCTACAAGGTCAATGTCAACTTGATGAGCAAAGAGGGCAAGTGCTTCATAAGAAGACATTTTAAAGCTGTGATTTGGTCCACAAAGTATGATTTTGTAAAACACTACTGGATAGTACAATTATTCAGCCAAGATTTTTCCTTTGGAAGAAAGCTGTTGCAGGATGCTGTCCCAAGCATGATAATTAATCTCTCAAGTAGCTGTTCTGGTAGATAGTTAGGAAAACCACAGCTAGTCTTACCAGTCATGGTATTCTTAAGAAAATTCAATGACACTATCTGTTTTCCCACGCAGGGGATCTATTTTGAGGTGATGATTTTTGTATCTATACTTCCCCTTGTGCACATGGTGATGGTACTTTCCTTTATGATAATTGAAAACAAGGTAGTGGGATGGGCTTTTAATTGTTTTCTGACTGCTGTTGAAGATGGAGCCAACATCTCTTCCAAATCGCTGTTCTGGAATATTCTCGAAAATACTGTTATCACCCTAAAAACAGGTGAACTTACCCTTTAACCCCTTCCCCTCTGCCCTATAGCAGAAGTACTGCTACAGGGCAGCAGGGCTGCGCAAAATCACCTATATATACATGGTTTGCATTTCTGAGTAGGGGGCACGTGCACGCTTCCCTGCCCGCGCCGCCATCGGCAGCTATAAGTGTCAATCACCAGGTCCCAGCCAAGAGATTCACCGAGAAACAGTGACAGGGGAGAGACCTGTGTGTAAACAACACAGGTCTCTCTCCTGCCAGCAATAACATGCTGCTGCAGAGAAATACACAGCAGCATGTTTCCCAAGTAAAACACACACAGCACACAGTTAACCCTTTGATCAACCAAATGTTAACCTCTTCCTGCCCAGTGTCATTAGTACAGTGTCAGTGCTTTTTATTAGTACTGATCACTGTATTAGTGTCATTGGGATATCAGTGGAAGTTAGTTCCTCCCAGTGTCAGAATGTCTACCGCAGTCCCGCCATACGTTTCTGATTGCTGCCATTACTAGTATAAAAAAAAAATAAAAACAAATTCTGTTTATATACTGCCATTTGTAGACGCTATAACTTTCAGGTAAACCAATTAATTTACATGTATTGGGATTTTTTTTGCAAAGGCATGTAGCAGAATACATTTTGGCCTAATTTATGACAAAATTTGGTTTTTTACATTTTTTTTTTACTGGATATGTTTTATAGCAAAAAGTCAAAAATATAGTTTTTTTCAAAATTGTTGGTATTTTTGTGTTTATAGCGCAAAAAAAAACGGCACAGGTGATCAAATACTCTATTTGAAAGCTCTATTTGTGGGAGAGAAAAGGACATAAATTTAATTTGGGTGTAGCATTGCATGACCGTGCAATTATCAGTTAAAGTAATGCAGCGCCGTATCACAAAAAATGGCCTGGTCAGGAATGGCGGTAAATCCTATGTCCTCAGTTTTTTTAAACACTTTTACCAGCTAATTTAATCACTAACTGAGTATGTAGCTTCTTTATCTTTTAATCTTTGCCTATGCTTAAGGATTTTTTTTTCTTTTTTCTTTTATTCTTTTTATTCTACTTTTGAATATAGTACAAAACAGTGCACCCAAACTGCCCAGCAGAGCAGTGGAAAAACAAAGTTTTAAAGCAGGACTAAACCCATCAATTTACCAGTTTAAAAAAAAAGTTATGTTCCCGGCACAAGCCAGGAATGCTAACTGTCACAATCGCTTATGCTCTCACCCAAACTGTCAAACTATCAAATGGTTGGTGACATAACTAATCACATAGTTACAGTGCTAAAGTTTTGCTGCACCTACTATATCAAAACAAAAGTGTGAAAAAAATAAATAGCATCCTCTAATTCTTATCACATTTCTTGCACTCATAAACAAAAACGTCTATGAATAAATAAACTGGTCTCTAGTGTCCAATAAAATAAATAAATATTTAATCGACTAATTATAATGTGATAAACACATGCACTCTTATAACATTTCCTGTGCTTATACATTTCTTATGCATAAATAAGCCAGCCTCTAGTGTTCATTGTATTCCATAAAGTGACTCCTTATTCATCCCTAATTCAACACATGTGCATCGATGTGCTATTTCATAAACCATTTATAAAAAGGTATATCGTGATTCCTACCATCTATCTTTTAATACGCTCACCTCCAGTTGTGGACCTGCCAATGTTAAGGTCTAGATGTGCTTTTCCTTATGGGTAATCAATCCAAGGTGTTCCTTCAACAGTCTACTCTCAGTATTCTTCCTTTTAATTAGATTTTTGATGATATACAGTATACAACATATGGATTTTGAGGTGTATGGCCCTTTAAAAAAAATCAGGTGTTCCCCTTCTTGTTCTCTGCAATGAACTCAGACAACACAGGGGCCCCTCATGGTGTAGTAGTTAAAAAATAAATATTTATTAAGTATAAAATTGCAAAAATAGTATTCCTTTTACATACCAGACAACGGGGCCGTGGCTCCCATGTCACTTTTGGTTTCCGTATCCACTCTGTATTTTGTGGGAACACAATTATTTGCTTGAAACCACTGTAAATTTGCACATTTCACACTGTGTGCACAAAAATACACATATTGCTAGTATATAATTAAGTCTAACAGGTAGCATGGTAATATTACTGCATAAAGTTTCTTTATATAAACTGATCACATATGAAGCATCATAGCAACTGCAGATCAAACAGAGACTGATAGCTTCTTTGGCTGAAAACGATTGGGGGGTTTAGTTTTGCTTTAAAGTGTAAATCCCTACATATACCCAGAGAAGTGACTGGCCTCAGGTGATACCCAGAGATTAAACAAATCATCCTACATATGTTTATCTACAGTCTTTTTTTTCTACATCTGTTCAAAGTGCTGAATTTACAAAGCTTGTCTAACAGTTCAGAAAACAAGGGGCAGAGAGCTAAAATTACACACTACAGAGCTGATTGGAGGGAAGACACAACCCCCCCCCCCCTCCACACAGCTCACAGGAACAGAGCTGAGGCTGCGAATATGCTGGAGCTCCCTCCCCTGTCACCATTTTTCTCTTGGTGGCATGAAAACTTGTCTGAAGTTACTCACGCATATAACAGAGGAACTAAGCATCAGACAGAAATGACACTTACTGCTCTTAATTGAGACAAGTACACACTATAAAGAAGGGGTAGGCAACTTTTGAGAGATGGATATCTACCTGAACAACATGAAAGAGATCAAAGATCATTGGGGTTTGGCGCCACTTTTCTTTTTTTTTTTTTTTTTAAAGAAATTAACTAGCAAGGCATAACTAAATAGTAAAGATCCTGGGCTCAACTGTCTGATCTATTTTTAGATACTGGGAACAACTGTCTGATCTACTTTTAGATCCTGGACTCAACTGTCAGATCTGTTTTTAGATCCTGTGCTCAACTGTTCCATCTATTTTTAGATCCTGGGCTCAACTGTTCCATCTATTTTTAGATCCTGAGCTCAACTGGTCAATCTATTTTTAAATCCTTAGCTCAACTGTTCATTCTATTTTTAGATCCTTGGCACAACTGTTTAATCTATTTGTAGATCCTGGGATCAGTTGTTTGATTTATTTTTAAATCCTGAGCTCAACTGTTCACTCTATTTTAAGATCCTGGGCACAACTGTTAGATCTATTTTTAGATCGTGGGCTCAACTGCTCATTCTATTTTTAGATCCTGGGCACAACTGTTTATTCTATTTTTAGATTCTGGGCTCAACTGTTCGATATATGTTTAAATCCCAGGCCCAACTGTTCATTTTATTTTAAAATCATGGGCTCAAATGTTCTTTCTATTTTAGATCCTGGGCTTAAAATATAAGTTCACACTGAACAAAAATAATAAAAGAAAATTTTTTTCTAGCAAAAAAAATGTGCATTTATAATTTTTTCCAAAGGAGCCTATAAAGCATTGTACCAGCGATTTGTAGATTGCTGATGCCATGCAGGTCTCCTGCAGACTGTCAGAATATCTGCTTGCTGTATGGGATGCACAGTCAAGCAAATATTTTGACAGGAAGCTTAAATGAACTACCATGGTGTTCCACAGTGCCCTGGTAGTTAATTGAAAACTACAAGCTGACAGCCGCAAAAGCTGTCGGGACTTGTAAGCACTAATTCACAGAACTTTGTGAATGAGTGATGCGGCCGTGTGGGCGGAGCCCTGCACAGCCATGCTGTTTTCAATCTGACAGATAGTATGGAGAGAAGGTTTCCCCCGTACTATCTGACAGAGGGAGGTGAGGGCGGCGGGTGCTGCTGCGGCTATGAGTACATGTTACATGTTCCACCCTAAAAACGGGTGTAATATGTACCATGTTCCAAAGGTGAACTTATCCTTTAATTTTTTTATCTATTTTTAAATTCTAGGATCAACTGTTCATTCTATTTTTAAATCCTGGGGTCAACTCATTGATCTAACTATTGGACTGTTTTGATGCTCTCACTGAACTATATCTATATATGGATTTTCACTCTAAAAACCCGTTCAAACAAGACCACAGCCTGAAATGCTGCTGCCTGAATACTAAACCAGTGCTTGGACCCCAGTGTTGTAAGCTACAGAGCAAAAAAATAAAAAAAAATACATCAGTGTAAAATAGAAACTTAGTCTACCTTAAAGTGTTACTAAACCCACAACAGTAAAATTAGCCTGCATATGCAGTAAAGCATGCTTGTTATACTCACTGTGGAACCTAAGGGGTTAATCCTCAGCATTTTGTAAAAATGTTGTTTGATCCTGACTTCTCTGATCCTCCCCATCTTCCAGTGTCCCACTCTTATCCCCTGATAAGACCTATCATGTGGAGACACTCTGCACATGCTCAGTTTAGTGTCTATTGCTAGAGAGGTTTTTTTTTTCTTGGGGAGTGTGCATGTCATCAGCACAGGGTCAATCAGCACTGTCCAGACAGAGGTCAGGGGTTCTCCTAGAACAGAAATAAAACTCCTCCTACAAGCATTAACCAGTGCTCTGCTGAACACTGATAGAAGTCACATGACTGCTCTAACTGCTGATGAGAAAAGGTATTTAACAGTTTATATTTACTAAAATAATTGCATTTCCATGTTCTGTGTACTGTGGAAGACCAGATATAGTGGGGAAAATAATTATTTGATCTCCTGCAGATTTTGTAAGTTTGCCCACTTACAAAGAAATGAAGGGTTTCTCATTTCTATCATAGGTGTATTTTAAATGATAGAGACAGAATATCAACAAAAAATCCAGAAAAAACACAACACATGTTATAAATTGAGTTCCATGCAGTTCAGTGAGTAAAATAAGTATTTGGTCCCCAAGCAAAACATGACTTAGTACTTGGTGGAGAAACCATTGTTGGCGAGCACAGAGGTAAGATGCTTCTTGTAGTTGGTTACCAGGTTTGTACACATCTCATGAAGGATTTTGGTCCGCTCTTCTTTAGGCTACTTTCACACTGATCCGCCACTAAAACACAGCAAAAAGGCATTTTTACTTTGCTTTTATCGCGCTTGCTGAGCGGTTTTTAAAAGGACACGTGACTTAAAAACTGCACCAAAAATGCTTCTCAGAGGAATTTTTCAGGCGCTTTTGATGCGTTTTTCTGGCATTTTAGGGCATTTTTCAGGTGCTTTCCATTGATTTCAATGGGAAGAGGCATTTTTGGGGCTTTTTTTTAACTCACCAAACATGCCCCAAAGATGCTGCAAGCAGGAGTTTTTACACTGCGCCGCAAGCGCAACGCCTTAGTGTGAAAACGTACATAGATATACATTCACATACATAGGGAAGCATTTTTCTTGCGCTTTTAAAGTGCTTTTTTTAACACAAAAATGATTAGAAAATTCCTCAGTGTGAAAGTAGCCTAATAGATCTTCTCTAAATCCTTAAGGTTTCTTGGCTGTTGCTTGGCAACTCAAAGTTTCAGCTCCCTCCATACATTTTCTATAGGATTAAGGTCTGGCTAGGCCATTCCATGACCTTAATGTGCTTCTTTTTTGAGACACTGTTGCCTTGGCAGTATGTTTTGGGTCATTGTCATGCTGGAATACCCATCTTCAGTGTTCTGGTGGAGGAAATAAGTTTCTCATCCAAGATTTTACAATGCATGGCCCCGTCCATTGGCCCCTCAATGCGGCAAAGTCGGCCTGTACCTTTAGCAGAGAAACAGCCCCAAAGCATAATGTTTCCACATCCATGCTTGACTGTAGGATGGTGTTCTAAGGGTCGTAGTCAGCATTTGTCTTCCTCCAAACATGGTGAGTCGAGTTAATGCCAAAGAGCTAAATTTCAGTCTCCTCTGACCACATCTTTCTCCCAATCTCCTCTCCTTCATGGGCTTCTACATGTGCCTTCTTGAGGAGGGGAACCTTGCAGGCGCTGCAGCCAGGGTATCAATCCATGGCGGCGTATTGTGTTACTGCCTTGAGATCATTCACAAGCTCCTCCCGTGTAGTTATGGGCTGATCCCTCACTTTTCTCATGATCATCCTTACCCCATGAGCCAAAATCATGCATGGAGCTCCAGACAGAGGTCAGGGTGATTGATGATTATTTGGTATTTCTTCCGTTTATGAATAATTGCTCCAACAGTTGTCTCCTTTTCACCAAGCTTCTTGCTGATGGTCTTGTAGCTCATTCCATCCTTGTGCAGGTCTACAATCTTATCGCTGACATCCTTTGACAGCTCTTTGATCTTGCCCATGGTGGTGAGGAAGAATGAGATTCTGTGGACAGGTTTCTTTTATAGACATAACGAGTTGTCGTTAGGAGCACCTTCTTAAATTGACAGGACTAATCTCTGTCCGACATGAGCACATAGCCAGTCTGTGGGAGCCACAATTATTGTTGGTTGGTAGGAGATCAAATATTTATTTTACTCACCTAAAATACACCTATGATAAAAAAATTATAGACCCTTCATTCTTTGTAAGTGGGCAAACTTACAAAATCTGCAGGTTATCAAATAATTATTTTCCCAACTGCATGCATGCATGGTTCTTGTGTTTAGTAACACTTTAAAAGTGGACAGAAGAGCAGTGGATGGTGCGTGGACAGTGTCAATAAAGCAGTGGACGGTGTGTGGACAGTGTCAGTTGGGGACTGGATGGTATCAGTAGAGCAGTGGGTGGTGTCCACAGGGAAGAGGTTTCTGTCAATAGGATGGTGGATGGTGTCAGTAGTTTTTTTAATTAATTAATTTTTTTACTATTTTTTGCAATTTTTACATTATTTTTTTACAATTTTATGAGCCCTGTTGATGGGGGACTTTGGTGAAATATCAGGGGTCTAAACAGATCCCTAATGTCTCACTTTTGAGACAGAAAAAGGGACGGAGGGCAGAGATTCCCCTGTCCCTTTCTCTGCCTCAGCTGCACTGGACGGTAAATTAATGGGATGCACTCTGTGCTGAGCAGTTTCCTGTTCATTCACAAACTGAAGCATAGTAAATATCGTTTACTAGTCCTCAGTTATGAATGAACAGCATGGGTGATCGGTACCAATCACTCACTGTGTTCATTGAGAAAAAGAAGGGGTCATTAAATGACATATTTACCAGCCCTTTCTCCTGCTCTCTATCCTGAAACATTCCCCCACAGCAGCTGGTGGGAGAGGAGAGGAGTTGTCAGTGCTGCAGGGGGACCAGGGGAGCACATGGGGGCTGAGCAGCAGAAGGAAGGGAAACCTGGATAGGAGGGGTGGCATTTAGTAGAACCAATCCCCTGTATTGTCCTCCTGGAGTACCTGAATGCCAGTGGGAGGGAAAAGAATAGAAGCTGGCTTTCAGCTGCTGCAGAAGGAAAATACAGGGCATCAATTTCAATAAATGCCTCCTCTGCTGCCCCTCCTGTCCAGGTTCTGGGGGTCGACAAGGAAGGGAAGCATGACATGTGAACCAAAAGGCTTTTCTATGGAGCCAGTTCACATATGTACAATTTTAAAAAGTGTCAGGTATGATTTTCAGTCAGGTTCAGGCGCGATTTCCAGTGTCATACACTTTAACCTCCCTGGCGGTATGATTATTTAAGATTTTTGGTGCTGAAAGCGGTACCATTATTTTGCATGGAAATTTGGCGTTTTATATTGTAGGCCTGTAATTCTTAGGAATAATTCACTGAAATCTGTCCGAACAAGAGTCTAGTAAACATCCCGGGTAGGATAAAACTTGAAACACGAAATCATAAATTATAATTTAATAAATAATCATATAAAAAATAATAATATAATAATAAATTTAATTCAATAATATAATCAAACCAAAAACACTGAAATTTGAAATATAGCGCCAAGTTCGCACATCACTGAGCAAAGTCGCAAAATCGTTTTCAGTGTCTGATGACGAATTTCCCCACGAATCATTATCACTCAATTCTGCAAGTGGTTCTAATTTACTATCGCTGTTCTCTAGCTGGTCTAAAACCGCTTTTGACCTAAAGGGACACTTTTTGGATGCCATGGACGTTTCTCAGTTTCCAGGCAAAAAGAACAGTAAAAATGCTGGCAGGGCACAGGACAAAGCACTAGGGACAAGATGTATGTGAAATGGTTTGATACAGTAATGTTTTACTATGTGATTTTAGTGAATGTCACATTTTGTCATTTTCAATTTCCTGCTGTTCCGTCCCCCGTACGTCCCGACCCTCGCAGGGGACGGAACCCTCAGATGACAGATGCCGGCATCCGCCGGATTACATTGCTGGGGACACTGCAGGAGGGACATCGCGGGAGTGCAGGACAAGGTAAGTGATCGAGGGATCGCGGAGCAGCGCCGTATTGTATTCCCGAGTGTAGCTCGGGGTTACCGCTTGTGGTACTGAAACTTTACCCCGAGCTACACTCGGGAATACCTCCAGGTAGGTTAAAAATTCATACCTGAATAGCTGAACAAAACCAGCCATTTGTGAACCTGTCTAACTTTTGTGAAGAGTCTAACTCTTACTTTGAAAAATCTGGCTATGCAGGACCTACAAGCTGAAACTCTAAATATAAAAGCTGGAAATTCCAGGTCCCCTTCCCCCTCTTGTCCCCAAGCTGCTCTTCTCCCTTTCAAGGTAAATGCAGTAGAGATGGGGTCCTGAAATTAGCATATAGGACTGTTTGTTTGATGTATACAGGATAAAATTACTTGCCTATGTTTTAGGCAACTCTTGCATTCTATGAAGTCAGTGCCAGCCTTGCATGCAGCGACTGGAGTTGTGTTTTCCTACCACCAATAACACACAACCCCTTAGCCTAGGATGGCAAAACTCCTTTTGTCCCCTCCAAGCTAACAGACTGGCTGCAGGCTGCACTGTCCACTGTTAACACTTTCCTGTAAAGGCTGGAAGTTCATTAAAATGCAGCACTGAGAGAGCAGGAACCATTAGCACTGAATGTAATTTTTCGGTTTACGAATGAAAATCCATTGAAAATAATAACTCAGCTTATGAATTTTTTTTAGAATTTGAACAGAGTAATTGGTTTTAAATGCATTTGCAAATTTTGTTTTTAAATCATGTCCCTGTACAGTACTATACCTTTAAAATGCACTTTATAAAGAGTTTTGAACAGACTTTTGACTTTTTTTCTGACTTCTGGAGTGGATTAATTGGTTTTCAATGCATTTACAAATTAATTTTTAATCATGTCCCTGTACAGTATTTATGTCTTTAACCACTCGCCTACAGGGCACTTATACCCCCTTCCTGCCCAGGTCAATTTCCAGCTCTGTCACACTTTGAATGACAATTGCGCGGTCATGCAACACTGTACCCATATGAAATGTTTATAATTTTTTTGTGACTGAGCTTTCTTTTGGTGGTATTTAATCACCTCAGGGTTTTTTTATTTTTTCTTAAACAGATCAAAAACCACTGAAAATTTTGAAAAATAAAAAGTTTTTTCTTAGTTTTTGTTATAAAATTTTGTAAATAAGTGATTTTTCTCCTTCACTGATGTGCGCTAATGAGGCTGTAGTGATGGGCACTGATAAGCTGCACTGATGGACACTGATAGGTAGCACTGATGGGCATTGACAGGCATCACTGATGGGCACTGAAAGGCAGCACTCAGGGCACTGATAGGCGGCACTGACTGGCACTGATAGATGGCACTGACTGGGACTGTTAGGTGGCACTGACTGGCACTGTTAGGCGGCACTGATAGGCAGCACTGACGGGCACTGATAGGCGGCACTTACTGGCACTGATAGGTGGCACAGATTGGCAGCACTGATAGGTGGCACTGACTGGCACTGATGGGTGACACTGAAAGGCAGCTCAGATGGGCACTGATATGTGGCATTGATGTGGCACTGATGGGCACTGAAATGTGGCATTGATGGGCACTGGCAGGTGGCATGGATGGGCACTGACAGCTGGCACTGATTGACACTGACAGGTGGCACTGCTGGGGCTACACAGATCATCAGGGCACACTGATCATCAGTGCCCTGATGATCTGTGTACATGTCCCCTCCGAGGAATGCCGATTACCGGCTCTCCTCTCCTCGCGAGCTGTCAGCTTGACAGCTCGTGAGGAGAGAAATGTCAATAACCGGCATTTCCCTATTTACATGTGATCAGCTGTGATTGGACACAGCTGATCACATGACCGAGCCGACATCTTCGGCTCTTTCCATTGATCAGTGATCCGCTGAGGGACACAGCGCACCGCCGTTCGCTGCACGAGTTTTTAACAGATAAAAGACTTCTTTAAAACATTTTCGGACCTCTGGAACAAATTAATTGGTTTTTAATGCATTCCTATGGGAAATCGCATTTCGGTTTACAAATTTTTCGCAGTATGAAAAGTCCCACAGAACGAATTAAATTCGTAAACCGAGGTATGCCTGTATTATTTTTGAGTACTATGCAGCACTAATTTATATATTTTTTGCATTATGCATCTTCTGGGAACACATGAGTGTCAGCAGCACTACTTAGGTTTACATTATTTGTGTATTTTTTGAGTTTCCACTTATAGGTGTGAGTGTGCTTGGGTATTTTAACGTTTTAGTTTACTGGGGAATGCTTATTTTATTATGCTAAATGTGTTAACAAAAAAACTGAGGGTTTAGGCTCCATGCATACTAGTGTTGATTTACTAAAGGAAAAAGGCTCCAGACCTTAGTAAATAAGGTAAAGCTTCACTTTGCAAAGAATACCCTAATCATGTGCAAGGAAAAGGGAAAAAAAAGCATGGAAGTCAGCAGAGCTCCCCCTCATTTACTAAGCTCTGGAGCGCTTGTACTTGTAGAGTGCAACTGCTCTTTGCAAAGTGCACAGTCTTTTTGCCTTTAGTAAATCATCCCCTATGTGTCCATGCACACTACTTTAGGCTATTGGCGTTTTTTGAGCTTCAGTGTCTAGGAGCAGAAAAAAAAATGTTTATGCAGACTTTTTTGGAGCATTTTTTTCAGCAAAAAGAAAAAGCTAACCGCTCCTAACAGCTTTTTTCTAGCTTTTTTTTTCTATATGTACTGTAAAAATGCTAATAAAATGCAAATACTAAAAAACACTATTACCAGCATTTTTTATCCAGTGGTTTTTGAGCTTAAAAAAAAAAACACTAGTGTGCATGGAGCCTTAAAGCGGAGCTCCACCTAAAAGGGGAAGTTCCGCTTTAAGGCTTCGTCCCCCGCTCCCTGTTAAAGCATAAGTTCACCTTTGGGAACAATGTACATGATCCACCCGTTTTTAAGATGGAAGGTGTAACATGTTCCCAAATGCTGCAGCTTTGCCCGCCGCCACCCCACCCTCTAACATATAGTGGGGAGAAGTTTCCCCGTACTATCTGGCAGATATAAAAACAGCATGGCCATGCGAGGCTCCGCCCACACGGCCGCGTCATTGATTCACGGACCTCCGCGAATGAATGAACTGCAAGTCCCAACAGCCTTAGTGGCTGTGGGTCTGTAGTTTTCAATGAACTACTATGGTGCAGTGGTACTTCCTGTCAGAATATCTGCTTGCTCGTACATCCCGTATGACTAGCAGACATTTTGACAGGCCTGCAGGAGACCTGCATGGCATCAGCGGTCTACTGATAGCTGAGGCTCCTGTAGACAAAAACAATAAATGCACATTTTTTTACCTGTAGAAAAAGTGTGCATTTATTATTTTTGTCCAAAAGGTGACCTTATCCTTTAAGGATTGGCACCTTTCGGGAGTGGGTACCTGATTTTGACAGGTACCCGCCTAGGGTTGCTACCTCATCCCTTTAAACCCAAACACATATTATTTAAACAGGTCCTGAGGCTAATTTAACCACTTGCCCTCCAGAGGATTTACCCCCCTTCCTGACCAGGCCATTTTTTTGCGTTACGGTGCTGTGTTACTTTAACTGACAATTGCGCGGTCATGCAACTCTGCACCCAAATTAAATTTATGTCCTTTTCTTCCCACAAATTGAGATTTATTTCGGTGATCGCCTGTGAGTTTTTAATTTTTTTGCACTATAAACAAAAAAAGACTGACAATTTTGAAAAACAAAACTATATTTTTGACTTTTTGCAATAAAACATCCAGTAAAAAAATGTAAAAAATCTAATTTCATCATAAATTTAGAACAAAATGTATTCTGTGACGTCTTTGCTAAAAAAAAAAAAATCCCAATACATGTAAATTAATTGGTTTACGTGAAAGTTATAGCATCTACAAATGGTGGTATTGATACTGGGATTTTTATTTTTTTTTATACTAGTAATGGCGGGTAGCAACCACTTATAGTGGGATTGCGGCGGGCATTCTGACAATTGGGGGGGGACTAACTGCCACTGACATCCCAATGACACTAATACAGTGATTAGTGCTAATAAAAAGCACTGACACTGTAATAATGACACTGCGCAGGCAGGGGTTAACATCTGGGGCAATCAAAGGGTTAACTGTGTGCGTTTTACAACGTGTGCTGTGTGTGTTTTACTTGTGAAACATGTTGCTGTATATTTCTCTTCTGTGCAGAGAAATACACAGCAGCATGCTATTGCTGGCAGCAGAGTGACCTGTGTTGTTTAGACACAGGTCTCTCCCCTGTCATTGTTAGGCCTAGTTCACAGTCTTTGAAAGCAGGCGTTTTAGGGGCGTTTATAACACTCCTCAAACGCCTATGGAGATGATACTATGGGTAGCACACAGTGCTGTTCACATTATCAAATCATGAAGTGTTAGCAAACCAGGGGCGGACTGACCATTTGGAAACTCGGGCACTGCCCGAGGGCCCGGGGTCAGTAGGGGGCCCCATGAGATGCCCCCTGGTACCTTTTTCATAGGCTTTTTTGAGTTTGGGCAAGGACACAGGGGCCTCATGATCCCCTATTGCCCGGGGGCCCCATGAGTTGTCAGTCCGCCCCTGAGCAAAACTGAAGCCTCATGTCAAGTCAGGAGGAGCTGAAGCCTTTCAATGCTTCCCATTCAGGCTAAGTTCACATCTGTGTGGGTGGTGCAGCTGCAGATCCGCACGAAAATCCATGCAGCCACAATACCCGCACAGAGAAATGTGGACCCGCGGGCACCCTAATGGCACGCCACCCACACTGGAAAACGCAACCATACTGGGAACTGAGGTTCATGTGCGGGCTGCGCTTTCGGAAGAAATGCAGGGACTTCTTCCCTGTGTGTCACGGGCACGGGAGTCCATTCAAATGAATGGGCTCTCGTGCCCGTGCAAAACGCGGCCCGCACATATGTGAACTGGGGGTTCAACTCTATGGTGACGCTCCTCAAATGCCCTGGCAGGCGTTTGCAGTGTGGTTTGCGGCACGTTAATACCATAAGAATTTATTATAGGCATTTGTGGTGCAGTTTAAACGCTTGTAAAATGCTTACAAAATGCCTCCAAACCGCGCACAGGGCGTTTGGGGAGCATTTTAACGCTTGTAAAACTCCCACACTAAAGCTGATTAATGCCTAACGCCCAAACTAACGCTATAGGGGCATTTTTGAAGAGTTAGAAATTTAGTTAAGTGTGAACAAGCCCTTACTTGGCAATCGCCGAGTGCCAGTGGAGAATCTCTGGCCGTGATGCGGTGATTGACATCTGTAGCTGCCAATGGTGGCGTGGGTAGTGAGGAGCGTGCACACCCCCTACCCGGAAATACAAATCATGTATTTCTGCTATAAGACGGCGGGCAACTGGTTAATGCAGATAACATGCTGAGTTTAATTACCACCTTAATCAGCCACAGAACCTGGGTAAATATGTGTTCGGGTTTAAAGGGATGAGGTGGGCAACTCTATAACCACCTAGGTGATCGGAAGTGGAAGTTGTCCTCCCTGTAGTTTTGTGGGACACGTGACAGGTCACAGAAGACTACGGAGTCATTCACAAAGCCCAGCGCTAGTCGCACACAGGGGCGGACTGACCATTTGGAAACTCGGACACTGCCCGAGGGCCCGGGGTCAGTAGGGGGCCCCATGAGATGCCCCTGGTACCTTTGTCATAGGCTTTTTTGAGTTTGGGCAAGGACACAGGGGCCCCATGATCCCCTATTGCCCGGGGGGCCCCATGAGTTGTCAGTCCGCCCCTGGTCGCACATGCACAGTGGGCACCCAGATGTGAAGCCATAAGCTGGCACAGCCGGCTGCCCACACTTAAGATGCCTGCGCCAGGTTGAGAGGACGCAGAAACGAAGGACAGGTGTTTTTTTTTCCTAAAGGCCAGCAGCTACAGTTTTTGTAGCTGCTACCTTTCATTATTTATATTGTGACTGGAGCTCTGGTATAATAGTACTTCAATGAAGAGCTACCTCCACTTGTGTTGTATCCACCAATTAGCAGAGCTGGTACAGCAAGTATCAGGTAACGTGAAGATGGACTCCAGGCTATGACATTGCCCACTTCCCCTGTCACTATCACAACTCCCATACATTCCCACATGGAAAGCAGGATGGCTAAAGGAAGCGACGTCACACGGAGGGTGCCGACTGACGCACAGCGTCCCACCAGCATCTCTCCGGGCACGGCTCCTGTAATAACGTGTGTTATGTTTCTTTTTATTTCTAGCCCCCTTCGCTCGCAGTGACGCTCCCGGCTACTGATTGGTCGGGGCGTGCAGAGGAACAGCCACGCTCCGCCTCCTCACCGTTTTCTCCGCCCCTCAGACGGTGAACTGAGTAGTAGCCACAAGCACTTGGGTTAGGTGAGTTGCTGGCGGCCTGTGTGTCCTGTGAGTGAGCGGGGACGAAGGACGGGGTGTCGGGCTGCGGGGCCTACTACTGCTCTTCACGGTGCGGGCTGTCCTGGCGGTCCATTGAGAAGCAGTGTTCCTTCGCCTGGAGGGGTGTGAGGGGCCCGCTGGTCGGTATTCCCGCTGTGTGACCTCATGCTGGAGCCGTCCTTGTGTAGCGGAGGAGTGCAGCCAATCCCACGAGCTGGCGGCTGAGATTTTTTTTTTCCGGGCAGGGGTCACGTGTCCCCCTGTCAGTGCAGGGACCGGGAGAGCGCTGTGTGTGCAGCCATCGGTCACCGAGCAGCCATGGGCGGCCTGAAGGCTATAAATAGACGCTGCCATCATGGAAGCTATTCTGGTTTGGACTTATCTATTTCTCGGGGTATATATGGAAGTTTGTGTGTGCACGTGTTCTCAGTGTGTGTGTGGTCGTGAACTTGCTGCCTCGTCTTTGTCCTCTGTAGACGGCCCAGGACTACGAGGTGATCATATAACCTTCAGGGTATGAGTTTAT